TGGACAACCACATATGTACAGTAATTTAACAATATAATGAATTTAAAAAAAAAAACTAGAACAATTCTTGAAACATACTAAGTGCTTACCACATAGTGGTATGTATTAAAATTATTATTATGGGTCAAATCTTTGATTTTTTCTATATATGCTGCCTTGCAATTATAAGAAGAGCATGTTGGAGAAAGTGTAAAAAAATAGATTTGAATTTTTCAATTTATACCACATTCTTGGGGAAACTGGTATGAGAAAGAAATATTTAATATCTTATATCTTACCTTGTACAGATTGCCTTCATATGGTTATTTTCTAATTCTCCAGCAATGCCAACATCAGAAATTCAATCACAAAGAAGTCCATTTGATCACCTTACCCAAATTAGGGTTAATTATAGTCTCGCACACACAGTTGTCTTCAGATGTATTAAAATATATATTTATCTGGTAGGCACATTTTGAGTACATAATAACACCATTCCAAGTTTTACATAAAAGAAGCACAGATTTCCACATACATTTCTCTATTCAGCTGCTTGTTTAGAGAAGAAAGAACTATTTATATTTGAAAAGATATTGAAGCCAAATCCCCATTTGATTTTTTGTATCTTAAATCCTCTGATTTGCTGCTGGTGGGGCATCATTGTTCTAAACCATTTCTGGTTTTGTGTCTTAATGAAACCTAAATATATATATTTTAGCTAAAGCACTGCCAGAATTGAATTTCAAGTGTCTACTAGAAGGTTTATGTTATAAAGATTTTCCTTTAATTAAAAATAGAATTACAGCAAGAAATTCATTTCTTACATAGACAGAGCTCACTTAAAAGAGTGTTAAATTTAATTGAAATATACACATTCCTCTAGTGCAGATCTTATCAAATCTCTCAGAAGATGGTGTCTTTGTTCCTCTTGGACTTAACATTGTCCATATTAAATTTCTAACTGCAAACTCGTTACTGTTGCTAATTTAGTGTGAGAATTTTGTTCAAAATCTTCAACCATCATTTGAGATGAGATTCTAATAAAATCAGTTTTTCTTAGGCACATTTCATATCAAATGAGATACTAACAAAGTATTCTTTTTAAAAAAAGCAGAAAACACAGATTCTAAAATTCCTTTGTTACAGACATCATTCCATAATGTAGGTAATGAGTAGCAAAAAAGATGGTACCAATATGAAATTAGTGGCTTATTTTGTCATTTTTAGTAGGAAAGTAATTATGAATGCAAAATGGTGATGCTTGGCTAAAAATGTCAATAGAATATAACCAAAGAGATTTCCCTTAAATAAACTTCTTCTCTGCGTGAGGTCACTTGTCATACTCTACACACAGATAACTTTTTGTGAGATAAGAAGCAACATTTGTCTGCCCTGGAGGACAGCAGCAATTGGTAGGTTAATCTTCTTCAACCCATCTCTCCTCGTGCCCACCCACTCTTTTTCTGAGTGATTTTATAGGTTACTTAAGGAAAGGCATTTGTAGATGGGGAGTCTATCAAGTATAAATAGAATCTATCTTTTGCCTGGTAAATGAATAGCCATGAGAAAACTCTTCCAGCTGAAATGGTCCAATTTCTTTCTTTCTGAGACTCATCTTAAAATTAAAGGACTTATAATCTATATTATTTATTAATTCTTGTATTATTTTATTAGGGAGACTACATAAGGAAATTTGACTGAGTTAAGATGGAGGGGGGATATTATTTAGAGAAAGGAGATAAGACTTTGTAATCCCCAACTTTAAACCTAGTCTAAATATTTTAAATGAGAGTTTTAAAGAATCACCAGTCATTTTCTAGTATTCCAAACAGATAAAAAGATGTTAATCCAATGAATTTGGGGGTTTTTCTAGACCACAGTATTATCTAATTTAGACTTCTTGGCCTTTTGGTGGTGGTGTTGGGGGGTGTGGGGGGGAGAGGGGCAAGTGAATTTGTTTTCCTTTAATGGTTTAGCCTTTTTTCCCCATAGGGTGCTAAAACAATACCACGTTCAGAGTCATTACTGTGTGAATTCAAATGATTTAACTTCAGCTCACTAATGCACTCTTTCCCTTTACAACTAAATACTGTAGATCAAAAGTGTGCTAAAATTACACTTAATGCTTCACGAGAAGAGTAGCTTGTTTTATTCTTTTGCAAGACTATTTCATTACCATAATTTTCAAGCATGCTGAGGTGCCATAAGAACTCTTCTAATTGCTTGAGTGTCGCTGGTCATTTTTTTTTTTTAACACACAATATCATGCCCATAATAGGCAAGGGAGAACTAAGTTAAGTGGTAGCACCAAAATGTATGCAACCAAACAAAAGGCTCTTCCTCAAACAGCCTCAAAAGGAGAGAATCTTTGCTAATATTTTCCAGTAGGGGGAACTAAAGACTCACCATCCAGCGTTTAGCTGGGATCAGGGACCTGCGTGAGTTCCTATAAGCCGGCTTCTAATCACCCCAACGAGCATCAGACAGCTACCAGCTAGCCTGTGATCACACGTGGGCCCGGCCACACCGGCCACACCGGGGCACCGCAGACACTGGAATCCCTTTGATCTAACGTGGTCTTCCTTAATCATCCCCAGTCCTGAATGGCATTCACTTGGTAGTTTTTGCCTTAATTTTCAGCGATTTGTTGTCGTCTTTGGGCTGGAACTCGGCTTTTTTGAGCTTTTATTAGCTCAATTAGGTTTTTCAGCTTGCCTGTGTTTTCCTGAGCCCGTGTTCCCCGAATTTCCTTTCAGAGGGGCTTGTCTCTGGAGGGTAAAGGCTTCGGGTAGTGCCGCCCCCATGCTCTTTGATCCCAGCTCCCCATTCTAAGCATCTTCTGCTGAACTCCTTTACACCCCACTTTCTCGCGTCAAACTCATCTTGGAGGGGTCATGAGGCAACAGAGTCACAGAAAAGAAAATGCCACCCCTTCACCTCCCTTCCTCCCTCGGAGATTCCGCAGAGGACCACAGATATTGGCTAAAACGAGCCCGTAGAGGCTAGAGATGTCTGTCCCTCGCCCCTTTTCTTGTGCCTTTTAAACCATATAGGAAGCACCCATACACCACCTTTCCGCTCCGAAAGGTGGTTATATTTCTTTTCCTTTCCTTTTTCCCCTCCCTCTCAGCTTCTCATTTTGCTAAAAGGTGAAGAGTGAGTGTTTGTGTGATTTTAAGAGGTAATGAGGCTGAGCCCCGGGTCCTGGTAGACGATCTTTTTCCAGAAAGCGCGTGAAGCTCCGGCAGACGGAGGGATGAATAATTAGGAAGGGCTTCCATGAAATCACTCACCGAGAAAATTACCTGCCCATTAAACCGGACGCGGCGCGGAGCGGGAGGCTAGAGCCCACCTATCCGCTCTCCAGGCGGGAAGGAGGGCGGGGGTGGGGTGGGGTGGAGGGAGCGAGGCGGCGCCA